TGCATCTAAAGGAAACTAATCTGTAACTTAGTTGATCACATCACCCACTTTCTTTGTTTGCTTTGGATCATATTAAATATTTTGTCTGGCTTTTTTCCTCCATAATTTTACTAACTGGGTTAAAATGACTCCATGTTCTTCATCCCAACATGTACTTAAAAGTATAACCATGTGTATTCGTGAGGCAAATACATTAAATTTGCCCCTGGATTTCTGAGCACCAAGTACAGGTTTCTTCAAGGGTGCTCAGCTGAAAATATTTACCACTGCTGGTGGCAGCCCATATAGAAAGTCCGCTGTAGTTTTTCACAGGAACTTTTGCAAATGAAGTTTGGTAGTAATTTGGTTACACAAAGCTGAGGGCTCTCTCATTCCCTCTCTCTCTTGCTATGGTATGACTGCCTCCAGTATGGCTTGCCAAGCTCTCCCAGTAAGACATAGCTAGGGTTATCTTTCTCCACTCACTTAATAATATATTCGAGCAGAGCAAGGTCATTTTGTGATATATGTTAAAAATAGACTTTGCCTATTACTCACAGATCATGAGCTGTCCCTCGTCCTTGTGCCAAAAGGTTGACCTAAGTGGAGATTTGGTGACAGGGAGGAGCACCCTTTTCTTTCCACAGGTTTGCTTTGGGATGAAGAAAATTTGTCTCTAAGGGTTCTTGTCTGTGGGGACACTGGGTGGGGGTACCACACAAGTACTTTCTGTGTCTCCATTCTTAATCATCGTGCCCTAAGAGCTGTGTCTTCTGGGAACTCATTTTAGCTTCCTCAGGTACCTGATGTCAATGTGGATCACTTTGTCCACCTCATGGGTTGATGAACTCTCAAGTGATCTGGACCTGTAGGAGGAGTAGGACATGTGTTTTGCAGTTTGACTTTTATCTGTATAATCCTTGGAAGCAGTGTAGGAAGAATGACAGCAGACAATCATTGCCATGGGCATTTCCAGGAAGTTTCTAAATTATTGTAAGATCTGTACTTCTAAAATGTTCTTGAAAATATTTATTTCAGTGACCCATAGAGTCTCTGGCACCAAAAGTCCATCTGAGCACTGCCAGCCCAGTCAGGGATAAACATCTTGCTTTATGATGTCCCCAGTGGCTTGAATCATTTGTGCCATTTTGTGGGTGCACTGTTATGATCATGTGTTGTAGCTGTTCCCACCATTTCTCGGAGGTCAGCAGTCCAAGATCAAGTTTCCTAACAGTTTTGTTTATTTACATGTATCTCCAGTGATTCATTATCTTGGGATATTTGTGTATGGTAAGGTCCTGGCATGTTTCTGGGGCACATAGGAAGTGCTGTCTTTCTACTAAGCAGACATAAAGACTTATGTGGGCTTGAGAGTTTCCATTTACATGACTCTACGAGAAAGTCAGGAAAATTTGTGGATTAGTTTGGAATCATGGATTTTGTTGAAATTCAGAGAGGAACATATTTTTCTTCAGTTTTACAATCTTGCTTTATATTAAAAAAAAAAATTCAGGACCAGAAACAGAACTTATGTTGTGCAGCATTTCCCTGTTCATTTTGGTAGATGCAGAAAATTTCCAGCCTGGTAATGGCTCAAATTGGCATTCAGGAGCTTCGGCTGAAACCCGCAGTCCTAGCACAGTTACCTAGATGAAAACACCTCTGTGTGCACTGGCAGCAAAAGCTGCAAGCAGGAGGCATGGATTTCAAGGCAACAGTAGTAGTCTGTGTTCTGCAAGACTGCTTATCGCTACTGAGGAAGGTCAGGAGTGCTCAATGCATGTCTGAGTCCGTGGAGTAGTCTGCAAGTGCACATTAGTCAAACAGCATTGATGTTTGAGCATATTGCCTGTTGTGGTCCCTGCATGCCATCTTCTTTCAGTGCCGATTAAAGGCTGGGATCTTATTTACTCTCCAGTAGAGTGCATGGCTGAGCTGGTGCACACAACAGCTTCTTAGTTTCTGTTTGATCTTGAACACAGAAGAATAGAGATTCACGGCTCCCCACCCCCTGCCAGAGTAAATTGACCCTTCAGAGGCATCTCTTCACCTAATGGTGTGAGGATAATGCAGGGCTGTGTACAGAAAGAAAGAGAAGGCTTTCTGAGGGGACAGGACCCAGGGCTTTTCTTTTGGGGGGCATTCAACTGTGCTAGGCTAAAATGTAAAACAGGTGAAAGAGGCCTGCTCCCTGTCATGTGGCTTTGGGCTAAGTCTCCCTTGCATCATAGCTGCTCAATCTTAATCCTTGGAGAGTGAATCTTTCTCATGTTTCTTACAGTTTCTTTTGGTGATCAGGTCTCTTGCATACCACCAAACTTTCTGTGGCAGTTCCCAGGAAAGAGGCAAAAGTGCTGACTCCAGAGAGGCTCCAGGTGGGATCCTGTACCTCAAACCCTCACCCTTCTGTCTTTTTTTTGATTTTGCACCTAGCTCAGGTTGAGCCTGTGGGTCGTCTGGGCCCCAGACCGTCTCTGTCTCATGGAATATGCATGGCCCACCTTTTGAATAACAAATACTGACATCTTTATGTACCTGGCCTGAGTGGCTCCTGATTGATCATGTCTTGTGAGCAATCTAATACCACATGCCTGTTTATATTGGTATGTATCTGTTTTACCCATATCTGCTCATTTAGTCTATTTTCTTTTGCATAATATCAGCACACCATTTTTCTTTCACATGCAGACATAACTCATTGTATTGGCAACAATGAGCAAAGGCTCCATATGAAGGCCTGTACACATCTGTGATCTAAAACAGATTCTTATCACTCCATCAAATTAAAAAGAAGATTAAGGCCCAGCTTCAGGAAATCACTCAAGCAGGTTGACTGACTGAAATGGGATTCATCCATGTGCTACAGTAATTTCCTACATAACAGTCTAAATTACAGCTCTGAGCAAGGGTAACTGAAAATTGATGGGGGATAGTGCATTTGGTGGTGTGATGTGAGCAGGTATTCAGTATCTAATTCTTGAAATGCGTGAGACTCTAAGCTTTTAAACTGGCATGGTGAAAATTATTTTAGCACTGTAGATTGACCTACAGATCGCTTATTTTTATGTCTTCTCTCTTTGCTCCCAAAGGACTTGAATAAGGAAAATATGAGTTCAGAGCCTTGGCACTGCTTTTCACTGCTGAGGTTATGATTTAGCTCATCCAGCATTGCTCACATGAGATAGATACCTAGTCTGTACTTGCTATATACACTGCTCCTATCCTCATTAACAGAGATGCACTTCTCTAAAAGTCTAAGTTGTCCTACCTCACTCTCACTTACAAGGGGTATATCATCCTTTGGAAGCATCCCCTTCTCTGCTGTCTGGAGGCAGTGGAAGAGTGCATCCCCTCTCCCCCTCCCTTTGCACATACCTCTCCTCTGTGTTAAAGGTGAGAGATAGCAACTAGGTCTGGCACTTTATATACCTAATGTTGGCCTTCCAGTGGATAATTTTACTCAATTACAATGCCTAATTACAGTCATTCTTTTCATTAACATGAGAACATTCTCAGTTAACTGCACCTGGGGCTGAAACATTGGCAGGCAACAGATACCAACAGTATTAGGTTAGGTCCACATAATGGCACATTAGCTTTACACTTTCTGAAGGCAAAAGTTAGGCTGAGGAGCTGGAGGAAAATCCAGTTACTAGGTGAGAAAATAGGTTACCCAATGGGTGTGTGTTGCAGTGTTGGGCTAAAAAGTTTCATTTGAGCTAGGTCTGTTTGTGGTTTTGGCTCTCAGGGAAATTTAATCTTGATAAAATGCTCAAATGATGCCATCCAACTGTCATGTCTTAAAGTGGTAGTTCATGGGCCCTTTGCTGTTGTGGCATAAAAAACTGGAATTTTGTGCTCCAATTCATTGAATCTGTTTTGGAGTGAAAAATCATAAATCCCTTGTGTTTAGTCTGCTGTTAATCTCATCAGCATTGGACTTCCCTTTCATTGCCTTTATTTTCCTGGCTACTAGAATCATTCTGGTGGTTTTATTGCCATGTATTTATGAAGAATATTAGCAGAAAACAGTTTTTCTGAAGTTATTTCTCAGTTTTAGCACTGCTGACATCTACAGAGGCAAGAGAGCACTCTAATAAGTCTCAAACCTAATTTTAATTATGTAAGCAGTTAAATGAACAAATGTTTTCAAGAAAGCTAGATCTATCTATGAGTGACTGTGTAAAGCCTCTGTTGTCCATCTGCTCTCAGCAGCCTTGTCTGATGAGGTGTTAGAGTGATGGTGGAAATCAGTCAGCATGCAGAGCATACAGTCCTTCAGGAATAACTCCTGCACCCCTTGAGTAGTCATTTATTCACTGTGATGCCAAATTATGGGCTGACCAGACACCACATCTGTCTGAAAATGGAGTGGAGACATAAATCACAGAATTAGGGCAGAGCTAGCTAAGTCCTTTTGAAACTTGTCAACACCACTGAAGTGGAGTCTCTGTCCCTGGTAGCTTATACTGAAGGAATGAAAGAGGTTGATCTAAGTCATTGGGTTTCAGAGCTATTTTCCATTCTCTGCAGTTGGATGATTCTTCATAATTTAAAAATTATTAATGATGTTGACTGATATCTCAGATAGTGACTTTATGATGCCAAAAGATTTTAAAATTATATACACACTGCAGCCAGATTCTGGCCTGGTTTGCACCACCACCACTTGTAGACGTGGTTCTGCTCCTGGATGGGTGTCTCCCAACTTTACCTCTTATTGCCCCAAGAAATCCACAGTGGCCTGATAATGCAATAACCTGTGGGACCAGAGTAATTTCAATCACATCTGCATTTTAGAAAGGTAGAATGTGGTAATTGAAGTGACCTTGGGAAAGTTCAGCAATCCTTTTAGAGGATTATTAGAGATCCTGTGTTTCTGGCACATGCTCTTGGGGCATGATAAAGCACTGCCTGCCCTGAGTGTGGCATGCCTCCTATGATGAGGAAGGACTTTGTTGTTCTCCTCTCTCTTTCCCTGTGCTTGTTGAGTTCTGATGTAATTTTTCTCTTAACTGCAGGTCACTTCCTGGGCAACAACACAGTGATTGATGTTTTGAGGAGAGAAGGGTACGAGGTAGAACACACTCCAGCTGGACAAGCCATCAACAAGTAATGCATGCTTTTATATAGCTGAGCAACCATTCAGAGGATGGGTTTGTAAACAGTCATGAAGAGGCAGTGGCAACTAGAACTATACCTAACAATGAGCTGGGCTCTCTCCCTCCTCCCCAGCAGTTTGATTTTCTCTTCCATGAGCCAGTTGGGAAACAGGATTTTATTTGGTTTGGGTTTGTTTTTTAGGTATTTTGTTTGGGGGACTTTTTTGTTGTTTTTATTTAATTTAGTTTTGTTTAATAAAATAAAAATATTTTCCCCCACCCCTCAACCCCATAAGTTTTTAACTCTTAAACTAACAGCCATAGAGTACACATGCTTGGCTCATCAGATCTGGATGCTGTCTCATACCGCATAGGTTTCCAGGCTTCTCCTTCCTCCCTTTTAAGTGTTTGACTGCCCTGCCTTTTAACACTCTCAATTTCTTACACTGCGATTTTTGATTCCCTCTGATTACTCTCAGCCCGGAATCTGACTGCCCAGAATTCACCCAGACTCTTTTCAAACTGCCCCCATGACTGATTGCTCTCATGTCCCCTGCTTTCTTCAGCATTTTTAAGCCAAGGTACTTGCAGTTCTGGTTCATCTTGCAGCTGTCCTTCAGGATATACCCTTATTGCTTCTTGTTAGCTCTCACTAGATGCCTTTATCCATCTCCATGGTTTCAGTAATTACAGGGTGCCAAATAATCTCCTTCTCCTCCACACTCTGCCGACAACTACCTGTGCTCTTGACACTTCCTGGACTTCTTGCCACCATCTTAAGGTCTGCAATCCTCGTCATCCCTTTATCCAGACTCTTGCCAAACATGTGGTCTTGTGTCTCAGATATCTCCACTCTTCCTTATAGTCACTGCTAAAAGACCACAGTGGATAAAAGGTTTGATCCCAGTTATGGTACTGTTTTGCTTTTACACTCTGTGCCAGGCATGCAGTCCCTCACTGCTTGCATCTCTGTTCCTTCTCCCCAGTAATTCTGATATGGGTCTTTCAGGCAGGACAATCACCTTTCGTGAAGGGGGCACAGTGCACAGTCTTGGTCTGTGCCAGAGGCTTCACCAGTGTGGTGCAAAATAATATCAAATGTTTTTCTCATACTCTGGTTGATTCACATTTCTCTTTGAACCTCTTTTGCTGCCTTTTTCAGACTATGATATTCAAACTCTGGCAGGTCATGTTTTTGCTACAGTTCTTGACATGGACATACATCATTAACTCTACATACACTGAAACAAACTAAGCCAAGATTTACCCCATGGGTACATGAATGCAACCCCTAATCCTGTTGCCACCAATGGGCAGGTGGTCTGACATGGAGAAGCCCCCTGTGCTTAAGCACAAGACTTAATGATCCTGTAACACTTAAATCATGACAGACAATCCAGTGTCCCAGTGTTTACAGGGATAATCAAAAACCTGAGTACACTGATATTTTTTTGTGTTGTGGTGGTCCTTTTTCCCCCCAGGACTTTCTTATCTTAGGTATTCCTAAAAACTGCCATAGAAGCTTCTTAAAGCTTAAAGAAAGAGATCTTAATATGTACTTGAGAATAAACAAAATCTGATACTGCTCTGTAAAGGTGTTGCTATAAGGAAATCAAAGGCAGACAAGTGTGGAAAGGAGGGCTAGATCTTCACCCATCAGGAAGGCAGGTATCAGTGATTTTCAGGATAGCTGGGCACCCAGTTCTCTGACCACATCATGGGAGTTCACTGTCCAGCCAGTGACTCTTGTGCCTTTGAAAGCCCTCAGTTTGGCACTAGTTGCATCTCAAAGCTTTCATTAGGACTACTGGACAGAACATCTTTCCTGAAGTCTTGATATTAAAGCTGAGTGAAGAAGCTGAAGAAGATGGAACATTAGTGTTTTCTTTAAGAAAAGGTGTTAATATTTCTGGATGACTTGGGAACAGATTTAAAAATACGAAACAAGTTTCAAGAAAAATGTGAGTTCTGAAGGAGAAGACCATTTGAGGTGAGGGAAAGACCTGTGGCAAAACTATGTCAGAGTCCTGGAGGTTGGATGGAGGGTTTCACTTGACTGCTGCCCTGGTCTTGTTCTAGGAGTAAATAGCAGGACTCTCTGTGTCAATAAATCCAGTCCAGCCCATGTAAATGTGGAACAATATTCAGTTACTGTCCTAGATAGAAGTGCTGCACACAGTCCAGTCAGTACCCATGAACTATTTCACAGGATAAAATTGAGAGAGGAAAAAACTGGCAAGTGGTTGAACTGAGACAGAGCATTCACATGGCTGTTCTACTGTCAGATACAGTAGGGGATATTAGCTGAGAGGTCCTAAAACAAGAGGATGAGCAAGTCTGCAATTTTCTCCCTTCCCTGAAACATAGCATTATGCAGCAGCAGCAGTCTGTGGCTTCCTGTGCTCTGGCTAAACAGAAAGTCCCTTCTGAGGTATCTTGTAGATATCTGTGGAACACAGATAACACAGGAACACAAAAAGGTGTGGGATCATTGTGCATGTTTTCTTATAACAAGCAAGCTGCTGGGTGTAGTCACACAATTTCATCTACAGACACGGCTGCCTGAGGTATTCTGCCCATGTGCAGGGGGAAAGGGATGAATGCCTGTGGTGGAGTGTGGAGGCAGAAGTGCTCCTTTTAGTGGTGTCACTAAAGCAAAGAAGGCAAAAGAGGTACTCCAACCATGCAGCAGTGCAAAGGACAATTTATAAGCAGTGCCATAAGTTCAGTCAAGTTCTTACTCTCTTATTTTGGGCTTTAACTGTTCCTGATTTTAGAATGCATACGTACATTGTAAAATATTCATCACATGATCACAGCTGTAATTAAGGTGCTTCCTGACTCCTCCCTTAGCTGCTCTGCTGGGAGGAAACTGGCCTTGGGGACGAATGACATGCATTTGCATCTGTGTGCCTTTTCCTGTGGTTGCTCAGTTGGTGCCTGGAAGGATTACCTGCAGGAAGTGTTGTTGCAAAGGAAGTTATGTATATCAGTGTCTGTTGTTAGTAGTGTTCTGAGGCTGTAGGTATCAGAAAAAATGGCTGGCCATGCACGGTGGAGGTCCTTATGGCTGTGCCTGTAAGCAGTGCTGAACTCTAGCATGGTATTGCCATGAGTTTGGTAGGGGAGGCTGCAGAGAGCAAGGCACTCTAATTTACAGGAGAGGACTGGTGCTCACTCTGTGACTTTAACAGTTAAGGAACAGACACAGTGAAGAGAAACTGGGGAAGATGGAACCATAAGCAGAGGACCTCCAGAGTGGTCAAATCTGGTCACTCAATAAAGTGGGATTAAAGAGTGGGTGTGGAGAAGATGGTGTGGAGGAGAGCCAAAGGGTTGTGACACTTCAGAGGTAATAAAGTAAGAGTGTGACAATCACAAGGATTTTGAAAGAGATAGATAGCCCAAGACCCATTCTGCACTAGTCTCTGTCACATGAAGTTCACCACATGATCAGTCTGTGGTTTTCCTTGCAGGAAATAAGATAAAATTCTCTTAATTTTCCATCTACTCTCTCCCTCATGTTCCAGTCCACAACTTCTTTTCTCCTTCTCCAGGATAAACCCCTTTTATTCTCCATCAAAGAGACATGGACACAATGATGGGCTAGATTGAAAACTGGAGCCACACTGAAACATGTCACCTTCAGGACCTCCTCCTTTTGTTGTCATTGCAAGGCACAAGGAAACACACTATACTTCTGGGAAGGTTTCACTGATCAAAGCCAGGTTTCTGCACAGTGGTCTGTGGTCTTCTGTTAACTTTCTGAGTTTCAGACCAAACCAGTCTCCAATTTTGTCTTGTTTCAGTAGACTACTATATCTCTTCTCTTTATGAAGGAGCCATAAATATCAGATACTTGTGTGAGCTCTGTGTATCCATAGAGTGGATTGAGTTTGTGAGTTTGTCCAAGATTCTCATGAACAAGTAAAGAGGGGGAATCACTTTGTTCCAAACAACAGGAAGTGTGGGCCAGCAAAACTGTGAGTGGATAGGAGACTGCAGACTGCTGGCCTTTGAGTATAGAAGAGGAGATGTTGCTTGAGTAATCAGAGTGGAGCTGATTGTTTGTTTCTTCAATGTATTACCTTTGCACAAAGCTGATAAGTATAGCCCTTAGAGCTTTTTCTGGGGGCTTGACTGAGTGGTCCTTTGGGCTTCCAAAATTTGCCTTGTGAGAGAGTTTGTGCATGCACATAGTCTCACTTTCTGGAGCTGCTTTGAAATTCTATATAATGCTGCCAGCCTAATACAAGATCTGTGCAGCCAGAAAGCTGAAGGCCTGACTCCTACTCCTTCATTACTAACTATATATGTGCAAAGCTCACTTCTGCTTTGTGGGAGAGGTGCAATTGCTCAGCCTCTCCTCCCCTCTGTGTAGACCTCCATACTTGTCTCATACAACCCTTTAAAACCACCATTTCATGCTCCTTGGTGTGCTTAACCGAGTGGCAGGACAGCATTATCTCCTTTCAGAGATCATCATGGAGACGAGTAAATGCTTACTCTAGAAATCAATGCCACAGTAGTGAGTTGAGCTCTGGTCTCTTATGTACCAGACATGTCTCCTGACCTGATGTTTTATAAAAGCTATGCATTCACTACTCTGTACCACCTGGCTTCATGAAAGAGAAAATGAGATGACAGTGAACTTGGCATTGCCACAGGTAGTCTGCTTCTAGTTGCTGCAGACTAGATGGCCCAAAGGATTGCTTAATGATATATTGAGCCATTCCCTTCAATGACAATAATTTGCAAGATAGCTCTGCAGCCATGACCACAGTCTGTGGACTATCTCATTACTTACCTTCTCCACCAGTGAGAGTTGTTGATCTAGGACTGGCTCCTTCAGCTAGTGTGCCTTAGTTGTCCTGTCCCCACCCCTTCTCCCTGCCCCTCAAATTAGTTGGATCTGGGCAGGAATGAAACGATCTGGTCTGTGTTCTGCAGTAGGTCAGACTAGAGGAGTATGGTTTGACCTCCTCCAACTTTGAGGGCGATTTCTTTTTTGTCTCTTTCTAGATATGCAAGGTTATTCCCGAGTTACTCCACCCTAAGCCAGACTGCATTCTTTCATCAGTTCCAGATTACCTATTTTCCAAAGTTTTTTTCATTAAAGAGAACTATTTTGATCAGAATACTGACTTAAGGAAGAGGCAGGAATACAAGACAGAGAAATAAGCATCCAGCTGATATGTTAGGGAGAAACAGTTGTTTTATATGTGCCTTGATGGTATGTCTACCAAGATTCTGCCTCAAAGCCCTTTCAAATATTGTGTTCCCTTCTCCTTTCAGCAGAAAACCCCTCAAAACCTTGTTAGCCTTTTCATCGTCATCACCAGCACATAGACCCTTTGTTGTGTCCCAGGAGCTCCCACTGCCATTGTACCCCCCGAAGGAGGAGGAGGAAGAGATCCCGCCTCACCTGCTGCTCCCTGACAGCATTGACTTGCTGGAGGAGGTAGACAGGAAGTACAAAAAGAAGAAGAAGAAGCAGCAGAAGCAAAGACTGCGACAGTTTAACGATCTCTGGGTTCGTCTTGAAGAAAGGTAGCTAACACCTTGGGAGGGAGGAGGGTTTGTCATACAAACTGGACTTTAACTTAGGCTGATTACTCCAGTACACCAAACTTCTGCAGGGGCTAGTACATGCTGAGGGCAGGATCTGACCTTCTCCCTCACTGTGATTCTTGCTGAAACATTTACTGAAGGCTGTTTGTGCTTTTAGTGACAAAATAGCTTCTTCTGTATGGTTAGGTTTGTGGAGAATTGGGCATAATACAAGTAGAAGCCTTGTTTACACAATTTTGGATTTGGTCTTGAGGGATTGTGAACATATGGTAATCCTCTTTATCACAGAAGGCTGGGTCCAGTAGAAGATGGTACAGATCAAAGCCTTGGACCTTTATCCAAGAGCTGCTGCATATGTGGAAACAGTCATATCTGGCATATGTGCTCCTTGCATTTGGGCAATATTTATACATTATTTCCAGTCTCTGTATTCTTCCAATATTAAAAAGCATGTGAGCCGCCTGGCAGTACTGTAGATCTGGAAAGGGGGGATGACAACCTAATGGATGATGGAATTAATATAAAAAATGGAGTGTGTCGTGGGCAGAGGTTCACACATACACCCTAGTTTTTGTCCAGAAGAGCTTGCTCACCTACAAGAACTACAACAACCTGCAAAAAAAGACAACTTCTCCTGCATAAGCTGTAATTTGGCCTGTAGCTGAATGTGTACCTTAATGTTTCCCTCCTGTCAGATAACACACAGACCTGCATCTACTTTCTTTTGTACTTTATGTCTCTGTATCTGCCATACTCAGGTTGAAAGCATTTTATTTACTGTAAATAACCAGACAGGTCAGGATGATAGAGAAAAGTCTGCAGTTTTTGAAATTAAGCCTCTACATTCTTTGGGTTTTTTTCATCTGAAGAATGTTTCTTCCTGCTTCCCAAGGTACTGAGTGAATCAGGGTTCTCCCATGCCTCTCCTATCAAATCCCTGGGTCCCAGCTGTACCAATGCTTTGAATAATACATCGCTTAGGCTGGCTGCAAGTGGGTGCAGAAGCTGTTGTTCTGTTCTAAGCATTCACCCATTGCTAAACTTTTTAGACCAGACTCCTTTTCTTCTTTTCTACAGTAGTTTTGTGCCCTCTCTGCTCTTCCTTCCAACTTAGATGTGTATAGTTTGGAGAGAAAGGGAGACAAATGCACATGGAAGTTTGCATGCCCACTGACAGACCTACACACAGTCCAAGATTCACCAGTACAACAAATCCTTATATTGATCACATTTGATTTTGTCCTTTAGTGTATCATTTACTTTCTATTAATGTAGGTGATACCAGCTTTTTTTGAATGGGGCTTTGGAGCTTCTGTTGACAATCTGTTCAGTTGAAACATTAAGAAGTGATTTGGAGTCTATGATCTCAAGCTCCCAGCCTGACTGCACACTGACATGTTCAGTTTTCACATGCAGTTGCTCTCATGAAACTCATGGAAGTCACTGGGCATCCCAATATGAGATACACATGCACTTGCAGTGTCACTGCCTTCAGAAGATGGAAGATGGGAGGACGTGCTATCGTGACTAAATTGAATACTCATTAGGGCTACGTACTGGATTTCAAGTACTGCAAGGCAATAGTGAGATAAAAGCAAAGCTAATGATAACAGCTTAAGAAACTACTGCATAAATATGAGAGCAGGAAATCCCACAAACTTACCTAGGTGCTAGGTGGCAATTTCTCTTTAGGGGTGAGTCCTTAGTAGCAGAGAGCTTGAATGTCTGGAGACGGAGCTGTTGCATGACAGTACTAGCAAAGACAAGTAAGTGATGCTTACGGCTGCCTGGGATGCTGCTGCGCCCTTGGTGCAGAGGCAAAGCCGTGAGTGTCAGAGAGGCAGCTGTCATTCACACACCTTTCCCACCTGTGCTATCGGTTTAGTGTTTGTAAAGAAGGGCGAATCACCACCTCCCTGCACCGACAGTCCGTGCCGCTGCGGGCCGCCTGGCCAGGCGTGGGCTGAGCTGACAGCCCCACCTCGTGGCACAGCCGCGATGTGTCCCCACAGAAATCCGCCTCCTCTGGGCTCAAACTCACAGGTGTGCCCGGCACGTCTCACTGGGAGTCTCAAGCCTTGCTATAAGCATTCCCCTGAGCGCCCAAGCACAGGTAAAACTGTCAGGTTTCTTGAGTATGGGTCATTCACAGCTCTCCTCCTGTAAGCCTGGAAATTTGGAAGGTGCAGGTCAAGTGATTTAATAAAGTCTTGTAGTGGGCTTAGCAGAATTGCTTGAGTTCATGCTCCTGCATGCATCAGCTGTCAGCTGTATTTCTTTGATGTGCTGCCAGCTGGCTTCTCTCCAGTTACTGCTCAAAGCCTTGTGTGGGGGCCTTTGGGTATGGAAGAGTAAGTGTTTTTAAAAAGGATGCTAATTGCCTTCAATTTCTCAAAGCATTTTTGTTTAATGCAGCTGGCCAAAATAAGGCAAGGGTGGTACACAGCAGCTGAAGAGTGGGTGCAGGAAAAATGACTGCTTTTGTATTTGGCAGGTAGACTTGCTTGTAATTTTGTCTGCATTTGTCTTCTGGTTCCATGCAGCACCATGAGACCCTTGGGGTCAAGCATGGCTTTCAATCTATTGCCGAAGAGAATAACACCTGTGTAGTATCTGACTCTTCTGACTCTTGACCTGCCATGGTGTGTGAACTACCCCAATTCAAGATACTTGATGTTAGCAGTCTGAAGCATACAAATTTCTCTCCTCAGTCACATGATGCCATAATGGGGGTTCAGCATCATGTAGGCTCTGACTGAGTTCTTGCTCATCACCACCTCAGAGTCCTCACTACCACTGGGAGATACTCTGAGATGTGATGATCTTTTCCCAGTGACTCTATGATGCATTTCTGGAAGCGGCCTTTCCTCTCCTTAAAGCATATAATGTAAATCCTTTCTAATTCCTGACCTGTGGATGGGAACATGCAGTACAGGAACAAGTTTGGTTCATGCTAAGATGCACGTACAGAAGCATGTCTGGGGAAGATAGGTTCAGCTGAAATCAGGTGCCTCACTCCTGCTGTGCTCAGCAAGTGTCACTGCAGCGACACTCCTCTGCAACAAAGCTTGGTTTTTTGTTTGTTTTGTTTTGGTTTTTTTTTTGTTTGTTTGTTTTGTTTGTTTGTTTTTTGTTTTTTTTTTTTTTTTTTTTTTTTTTTTAATGTATTTTCTGCTTAGCTGAAAGATGCTAGGAATATGGTCATGCTACTCACATGACTGACTTCATGGGAGCAATGGGCAGGCTGGGTGGGTGAACTCAAGTAGAGGGCAGGTGTTTCAGTGGTGTCTCTACCCTCCACAATCTCTTCCATATTCCCCCTCAAGACTGCTTCACAGTTCAGCTGGTCAGCATCCTGGTCCATGCGAACTGCCCACACCTGTGAGGAAGGGACAAGGCAGCACTCTGCCATTAGGAGACGCATGCCTTTGGTGAGCATGGAACCAGTACAAGAAAACATTCCCAAGAATCCTGAACACTGTCAGTGGGGCACAGAGGCTGACCACCTCCTGCTCTGTGGGCATCAGGCAGTTCTGGGCTGGGTCTGGACTGATGTTATTCTCTTGCCTTGCAGTGCTACCGATCCGCCTCCCTGGATCCGCATCATTAATGGCTACATCACGGTTGAACCCCAGTCCGGGGGCCACAGATGGTCTAGTCATGTTCATGCAGATACTGGCAGCGCTCACCAGTTTTCTCATTGTCTCTTCCTCCTGCTACTGACTTTGACTTTGCATATGATAATGCTGCACTGACACACAGGGGAAGCCAAGCTGTAGGGCTCTTACCCTGAAAAGCAAAAAAGAAAATTATGTGCAAAGACAAAAATAGAAGACTCTGAGTGGGACATCTGTTCTTTGGGGTGTTCTTAAACTGCCTCCTTTTCCTGAATCTGGATCATTAACACTATTAATTGGTTTGACCTGCCCAATACAGGAGAAGATTTTTAATTAAAGTGTTATTTATCCTTCTCTTGCAGAAGAATGATTTAATGTTATCCCATAATGCTTTGGGGAAATTATACTGTCACTATAGCATAGCTGTTGTTTAGCTGTATGAGCCCAACTAAATTACATTTTTTTCACCTTCAGTGCCTTGTAAGATGATTTACACACCACTAATGTGTTTATTAGAACAGACTATTTTGGTCATATGAGCACAGCTCGCAAGAGAAGTTGGTATTTTATGTCTCTACTGGTAATGCTTCTAATTTTTGCTTGTTAGGGCTCTGGATTACATATAAAGGCAAATGATCATGACAACACTTTCTACAATAGAATAAAATAGTAAAGACCTATGAAAAGAATGTTTCTGCCATCTGTTTGGTGTTGTTGTAGAACAGGTACACCTGAACCTCCAATGGCCAGACAAGTCTCATAAGCACAAACTAATGTACATTTAAGGAAAAAAAAAAAAAAAAAAAGCCTGGAGACCTTCACAATCATACTGTTGGATGCTTCCAAAATAAGAAGTTTCTAAGAAGTGATTTGAGAGGCCCAGATGCAGGTTTTTCCTCTCTTTCTAAATCACAAATATATTGTTAATTTATAGGTGGATTCACTTTGTGGGAGAAACAGCCTTCTTTTCTTTTTCTGCACAGTTAGACTTCACTCTAGGAAATCCTTGAAAGTTTTCTGCCAATTTCAGTGGAAATTCTCAGACTTTCCAATTGTTTTGTCTTTTACTGTCTACTTAAAATGGACATGCTGTTGACTGTTGGATGTAGGAAGCTTGGAAGTTGTGATGAATGGTCTTCTCTGTTTCTAGAGGATACCCTCTTGTGATCACACTGACTCATTTTGTGAGCAATGTCCCACTGCTTTTAGGAGGGTTTCATAGCCTAGGAAGGTTTTATAAGATTCATGAATGGGAAGGCTTGAAGCCAGTGTACTGAGCCTGGTATATTGGAAACACAGCAGCTACCTGCCTCAGTGAGACAACAAACCTTCAGGTTTCCCTTCCTATGCAGGTACACATGC